ACAAATAATTGATAATTTGAAATAGGAAGAAAAGGTCCAAAGGTGTAGAGGAAGTGGGAGGGGAAGGGGAAAGGAAGGAAGGGAAAGGAAAAATTATGAGAAAAGGATAAAAGGGTAACAAAGTCTTTGTAAATAGGGAAACGTGGAGGGGGTGAAGGGCACACAGGGAATGGGGAAAAAAACAAGAACCAAGATACATCATGTACAGGTACAAGCACCCAATGATAAATGTAAACATCTTGTATACCTAAAATGTACCAATAAAAGAATTTAAGGAGAAAAAAAAAAGACTATTTGATGGTGTTCCTGAGAAACCAGCCAACCCAAAAATCTCCAAGCAGGATGTGGAAGGATCATGTTCCCTACATCTTCTTCCCACAGACCACACGCTGTTCCCAAGGAGACCACATCAGAGACATAGGCAAGATCTCTTTGTCCTCAGCACAGAGAGACTCTGCAATAAGTTTGTAAAATGAATGCAAACAGAACCTCACTTTCAAGTTTTCTAAAAAATTTCAACAGCAACTTGCTCTTGTCTGACCTTATCCAAGTTAATAAAACTAAGATTTACCAAAGCACCACACTGTTTACATAACAAATCTCAGCCCCCTATCTTTGATATAAAACAACCTACAGCACCTGCTCCTTGAACTTGTTTTGATAAAAAAAAAAGGGGGGGGGACTTTGGGAAAGAGAGGGAACCCAGCCATCACATCTGACAGTCTCAAGCCTTGATGCAGGAGAGTTTCTCCTCTCCATTGTCTTCATGAGTTTTAGTTACTTTCCTCATTGCTGAGACAAAATACCTGACACCCCAAGGTAAATGAGGAAAGGTTTATTCAGCTCAGAGTTTGTAGAGGTTTCAGTCCATGGTCAGCTGGTTCCAAAGCAGGGCCGCATGGCAGAGGGGCACTGCAGGGGAGGCAGGTAGGAAGGCAACAAGCAACCAAAGCAGTGAGCAACAGCAGCAGCAAGCCTGCCTTTCCCTTTTATCCCACGCAAGCTACCAGTCTTTTGGGTCATGCTACCCACACCTAGGGTGGGCCTTCCCTTATCTACCCTCTCAATCCCATCCTTAATCCCATTATTACACCCCATCTATGAGCATATGAGGCTTTGGGAGGACATCTAGATCCAAGCCATAACATCAGGGTATACACATGGGCACAGGTGTGAGTCTACCTGGATTCCAGCGACAAGATGAAGAGGACAGCAAATGCCAGGACTGGTGTCCAGAGGCTACACCAGAGGGACATAGCTGTCCCCTCACCAGGGACCCAGGATGGTTTGTTTTAGAAGCAGACATTGTTCAGAATCCTAAGTGCTAACCTCACAAACAGGTTTGCCCCACATTCTCTCCATCTCTACCCCTAGCCTAGGGGAAAACTTTCACATTCTGCCCTAGATGGTTTATAGCCTCCGAGCAATTCCATCCCCAATTCTGGATGGGGGAAACAAACTCAGAAATGGCTCCTAATGTCACAAGCTATCCCCAACAAAGTCACAAGAAAAATCAACCATCCTCAAACTCCCAGTCTACACAGACACATACATGCCTTTCTGAGGCACACAGCCCTAAATTGCCCCTAGGTGACTCACAGCTGCTTGGAGGGAGCACCTGGCTTTACAAGGGGCGGGGTTCCTGCTGTGTCCCCAGTGCTCCTGCCTGAGCTAAAGAAGCAGCTGGGATGTTTTAGAGAAGCCCATATCAATGAACCCAAGGACTTGAAAGAGCCCCCTGTGGACCCGAAAAATGACCACACCCAGTTTCTGCGGGGTCATGGCTGTTTGCAGCTCTTATCCAGGTATCGTGAACCCCAAGATGACACCCAAAGTGTGATGGTGAATGTTATGTGTGAACCTGATCCAAGATGCCCAGACAGGAGGAGACACGTTGCCTGAGTGTGCCTCTGAGGGTGTTTCCGGGTGGCCTTCACATCTGAAGCAGTGGAGTCAGCAGAGCTGGCTGTCCTCCCAGTGTGGGGGAGAAGGCCTGATAGAACAACAGACTGACCCTCCTTGAGGAACAAAACTCCTACCTAGCAACCTCAGTTTTTACCCAGCTTTGGACTCGTACTGAAACTCTGGCTTTATGGGTCTCCAGCCTGCAGCTAGCCTGGACCTTGCACCACGGCCACTTCTTGGTCTCTATTTCAGGGCACAGATCTGGAACCCGTCAGCCTTCTAGTGCTCACAGTGTCACAAGCACTTTCCAATAAGACGTCTCTCTCCCTCCCTGTGACACACACACACACAGTCGGTCCTGCTTCTCTGGCGAGCCCTCACAACTTCAAAGGGCCATTGGCAAGACCCCTCGTGTGCTTCAAATGCCACTTTTGACATAATGAGCTGGAGCAATTACCTCTCAAACAATTGGCTCTGAAAGACAACACTAACAACAACCAAAAACATGAGCAGTTTCTACTGCTGGGTGTGTTATTAGGGGAAACTAAGACTCGTGACATATTGAAAGACACCGAGCTCCACTCTTAGTAGAGGCGCACAGTGTGATGAGCTGCAGGGAAGCTGCACACTGTATGAATTGGGGGTGAGGGTCCCCCGTTCCTCACCTTACAAAGGGGACCCTTCCTTCACCAGCAGCCTGACAGTTACAAGCAGGGACATGTGAGGCAGAGTGGATCCACACTGCCCATGGACCTTCAGGTCCCCCGGCGCACGTGGGCCAGGGTGGGAGGACGGAGCCTCGTGCCTTAGACAGGGAATATGAGGGACAAAAACACGGCACAGGGATCCCAAATAGCCCGCCCAGTCCCACCCATGCTTCTCGAGTGTGGACACAGTGTGAATATTTTTTTTCTCCTCTGAAACCCATGCTGGACCTAATCCCCACTGGAAGGCTGGAGAGGGTGGAAACAACTGGGGTTTAGAGGTG